GGGGGGGGCAAATGCCCCCCAAATTATTTTTTGCCCCCCCTCAAAAAAATTATTAGTCACTAAGAGCGACTAAAGGCTACACAAGCGTTCTGTCGTTATCGGAAAATGTATGGCTTATAAGTTGTCATTACTCATTAGTGAATGCGCGTATACATGAAACTGTTTTACAGTTTCAATATTAGTTTGTAAATCTCTGAATGGTAAAACTTGCCAATACTCCAATAATACGTTTCAAAAAAAGACAAAAAAGCTTTAGTTTTGCAGAGTTAAATTCTCAAACGTGTAAGGCAATACTAAGATGAAAGTATCACGAAATTATTTGAATAAACCACATCGCATATATGGGAGGCGAATGTCCTAAAGAGGGGCGATATTCCTAGGGTATTCTCCCCACCCCCTGGGAGGCGATATTCCTAGGATATTCGCCCCCGGGGGGATATTCCTAGGAATATCGTCACGTTTTGAAGGGGGGGGGGGCGAATTTCCTGGGGGGCAACCTTTTTAAAAATTCTATCTTGCCCCCCCAAAATTTGAGTTTGCCCCTCAAATGCCCCCCCAAATTTGGAAGCCTGGCGCCGCCACTGAATAGAATGTTCCAGCAGGGCCATTTCACAGCATTCCAGCAATACCTGCAACCACCTTTTTGATCCAATTCTAAAAAACAAACAACAAATTGCTATGTATTGGCAGGAAAAAGTTAAGTATCAAGAGATCTCCTGGTAAATTAATAAATAATGGCCACATGGGTTGAACAATGAATCGAATAATAAACATATTAACAGATTCATAATCACTTTTCCATATCAACAAACCTGTTCTATATCCAACCTTACAAAGACTTATATGAGGTCCATGTCCAGGCAAAACACTGCAACACATTCATTCATATTGTAACCCAATTCCATTTATCAGGATATTAGAAGACTTCCATCCAGACAAATTGCAAAATGGACACTGACCAAAGTCATACTCAATTTCAATTTGAATTAGAGGGGCTACAACGTTTGCTCATTCTATCAGACCCAGAATTTGAGAACAACCTATTCACCAACACACCATCCGACTCACCATCCACCATATCAACCAACCCAATTTCGACTTCCACTCTCCCACAATTCACCCCACCTGTTGACACACCAACCAACATATCCCAAAGTCCCGGCACAATGGACACAACCACAACCTCCACCCAGATCCAGCCTACAAGTACCCCAATCCAGTCCCCAAATGCCATCCCAACCTCAGCCCAAACCACCTCCACCCTAACATTGCCAGCCGACATGGGCCAACCCAGCAATATCCCAACCACATCCCAACCAATCATACCACAAACCCCCCTAACACACCAAATCACCACCACCACACCTCAACCACCTATCACTTCCAATAACACAACCACCATGTTCAATAAACTTGTTGAACTCCATCACCACAAGAATGACCATCAACGACAGTTGACCATTCTCAACAAACACATCACAAACCACACTGCACCGGCTGGCCTCAACATCAGCATTCAACCCTGGGTCCAACTGTCACCAAAGCTCAAGGAAGCATGAGACACTGGCATCCAGAACTGCATGTCCCACCTCACAGACATCCTGCACCAACACCACTCAGAGGAATCATCCAAAATTGATGGGCAAATCTCATCACTTTCCACAAAACTAAACGACAATCTCCCACAGGAGTTGTCTAGCACTATCATCCATATCGCAAGCAATCACAGACCACCATCCAAACGCAAAACAACACCTAAGTCAAACACCAAACATCAACCAAAGCGCCCCAAATCCACAGCAACCACTTCACATCCCGCAAAACCTGAAAACAAGCAGGTCTCTCAGAAATGGCCACATCGCCAACAACACAGGGAACCATCACCTCCCACCTCCAAACCACCATTACGAGTACCACCTCCACCCAGCAACACTACACCACTACACCCGCCAATGACCACAATACCAGCTCTAACCAGCATCATGCATTCCTCCATCAAGCAACAACTGATGGGGAAACAAACACAGTTCCCCACCATATACAACATCTTCATGAATGGAAGACAATAGATTTTTCCCTCATTAACAACCACCACCAATGCAATGTAAATAGTCTAGGCCTGTACATGATAATCCACACACTTCACATAGTTTAATTAATACACAATTGTCAAATAAAGATATGCAGTTACAGAATATTCATTAAATTCATGAACATTATAAAGTTGTACAGTTGTTTAATTCATACATATCCACCCTAAACCCAGACCCAAAACCCACCTGAAGTGTATCATGACCAACCAGCATAACACCATACGAACGCCTCACCATTCAGCTTTCAAAGAACGAGAAATAAAAGGCAAAAATGTCTGTCGCGGGCTCGGCCACAGAGCAAATATCAAAATATTAATATGCATCTCAACCACCATATTTCACCGTTGTAATACAAATACCGAGAAATAATATAAAAATGACAGACAAATTTCTTATTTCGTGGCAGAAAACTTTTTGTCACAAACTGTGCCACGGAGCATTCGCACACTACTTAACACTCACCACCGTCACATCCATTTCGAACTACCGTTCACCTTTCAAAGAACGAGAAGTAGACGGAAGACAAATTTTGTGGCAAAAAATCTTCTGTCACAAACTCTGCCACGAAGCTATCAAAACATCAATATATCCTTCGCAATCCATTTGAAACAACTTTCAATATTATTTTCAACCGATGTTTCCACTTTCATCAGAGACACATTCACACAACATCGATACACCCAACCCACTCGAAACTTCCCAGGCCCACTCCCTATTCAACACTTTTCAATCCACTATTCTGAGCAGTAATCCCAAACCTAACCCAATCCCCACCGGAACCTTAACCCAAAAGCTTATTCTCCAAACCCTACCCTATCAACTAACCCTACCCTAACTAAGCCCACCCTAATCAAACCCCCCTTATATGCGAGCACATAGTTCCAAGACCAGCTAGTGGGGTCGAAACGTGCTTTCCCGGTTATGCTTGGAGCCTGATGAGAACATAACCTTAGTTTTGAACACAAAACACATGGGACTTGACCTGGGTGGCGATACATTGGCATTCACCCAGGTCTTGGCATCATCACAATACATCTCAAATTATAAACGCACCCGGGTTATGCCTGCGCGATCTTCACAAAAACAATCAATCGAGTCATACACGTCACAGTTTTACTATTCATGTCTCATTTTAGCTTGAATGTTCAGACTTATGTATCACTGATATTTCATATCATTTTACAACTCATATATCACCAGTATCATCACTTTATATCTATGTTATTAATCAAGCTTCACCAACATCATCACAGTCCATGCATCATCATAACTTAAAATACTCGTTAATAATTCATAAACCTTGTGGCAAATCATGTCAGCCATAATATGTCACGTGGAGTGACTTTATATCTGATAAAACACATGTGGCAGTATATAATTGTTCATCTTAATTAGCATGATTATACTATGGTTCATCCTAATTAGTATTCTTTTGTAGTTGTATTTTAAGCTATTCAAAACACTCGTTGTCGTGTTTTATCAGATATATAACGCTCGGCTGCGCCTCGCGTTATATCTGATAAAACACTCCTACTCGTGTTTTAAATAGTACATAATTCACTAAAATCATCATTATCTATACCATTCCAATTCTATCAGTCACATTGAATCGAAATTTCATTTCATTTCACTCCACACATCATTTGATGTTCACCCAATAGAATATTCCAACAGGTCCAGCAGGGCCATTTCACAGCATTCCAGGATCTGAATACCTGCAACCACCTTTTTGATCCAATTCTAGAAAACAAACAACAAATTGCATTCCAGCGGTTTTCTTGGAAGTTATGCGTCCTGTTTTTTTTGGATCTCAGTGAAAGCAGCTTACTTACAAGATGTGTACATGGCATAACAAAAACCAGAATGAATCCATTAACACATTGGTGTGGATCCGTTGTCCCAAGCACATAGCTACAAAGGTGTTCGTTGTGCTGGGGCATCTGAAGTCAATACTGAAGTCTCCAACACCAGCAATTTCAAGTACTTAGGAGTCACCATCACAGCCAACTTCACTTGGTCAGAACATATAGATCGCTTGTCCGCTAAAGTCAATCGACTCCTGGGTCTACTTCGTCGGATTAAACACCTGCTACCATTTAATGCACAAATCTTCTTTATAACACGTCTTGCACTCCCAATCTTTGACTATGCGGGTGTTATATGGGGGGACAAAAATAATATAGTGTTAATGAACAATCTTCAGATACTCCAGAACAAAGCCGCCAAAAATTGTTTTAGATAGACCTTTTTTTCATCTGCAACAGACGCGTTAAACACTTTAGGCTGGACCACTCTTGAACAATGCAGATTGTATCATAGATGTTTGTTTGTTTTTAAGTGTCTAAATAATCATACCTCACATGGATTTGAACTTCTAGCGAACAGAGAAATACCCACCTAAAATACGCGATATAAGGACAATTTAAGGCCACCTAAAGTGTCAAGGAATTGGGGAAAGCAAAGACTCGCTTATCAGGCCCTAACAGACTGAAACAACTTGAAAAGAAAGATAAAACTATCTACTCGTATTTCTACATAAGTAAGTTATATGAAGCAGGAGGATTTTAAATGGACTACATTGGTAAATAGTTTCTAATAATATTTTAATAATTAATAATATTTTAATAATAATATTAATAATATTTTATTGGTAGTGAATTAATTATGCATCTTTAATTGGTTTTCTTTCAATAAAGGTTTTTATGCTTTAAGAAAGGATATCTTAAGAACAGTTTGTCCAAATTTTCAGGATTACCTCATCTGATAATGCTCTCTGGGATAAGCAGGTGAATTTTTTGTTGTAGTAATAGTACAAATTGTATGATGTAAAAATGGCTAGATTTCTCCATCTTGGCTATAGTCACAAAAAATATTAGTTATTTTTATAATTTTATAATATCCTCTGCTCATCCCGGAGTTTAGTGATTTCTGTGTAAGAAACAGAAAACAATACGAAATCCGAATAAATTCCAGGGAAGATATCTTTTCTCAAACAACCAGTACTCACTCTCAGCATGTGGCCTAATTAATGGACCGGTGTCAGGTTTCAGTGCGACCTGAGGCTAAACCAATAACAAATCCGGATTCCTTGATCCTTTACCTTTATAACAATATATGGTTTGTCATGCTTTAGATCAATATCTTTTCTGTTATTGCAATTCAACTAACACCACTACAGAATCGGGCTGTTCAGGTAGACCCCCCCCCCCTAAGGGAAATGTTGTCATGATTAGTTGAAAATTCATATATGATTTTTGCTTTATTAAAATTCCTAGTTTATCCATTCTGGATGAAGGTATACATATATAAAGGTGGCCCAGTCTGAGGCAAAGAAATTATTATTCCTGGATTTAATGTCAAAGATGAGTAGGGTCTTGCCATTTAGTTGACTGTACAGAAAGATTTTTGTGAAAGAAATATATGGTATGATAATATTAATATTAAATAATACGAATAATAAAAATGCTACCAGCTGTGTGATGAATGTTCTAGATGCTGTTCACCATATTCTCGAAAGGCAGCAATTCGACCCCCGTTAATTCGGCTTCAATTGCAACTACAACAAGGTCCCTGTCAGACGATACATCGTATATGCGGAGGGGTTGTTCAGAACGGCAAGAGCAATCCTTACTCGTTCGGGTGTTATGGCGCATGTAGTTTTATTTCTTAATTAAGTTTTATCTTTTATTTGCAGTGTACCTGAAAAGATTTTAAAACAGATATCAAAATCTGAAGCAAATAAGTTACACAGCCGAGCTGCATCTATGACCTTCAAAAATATTGTCGTTTGCATAAATGTATGTAATTAGATTAGTAGACAAACTTGTCCATATAAAACAATGATATTAATTTGTGGGCGAAATAAAGAATGGCAGTGATATTGCAGTGTATTTAAAACAATTGACATGTTGCCTATTTATTTTCTTTGAAAGGTTTGTTTGGCACACAATGTAAATTATGTTGTATCACCTTATGAAACTGATGCACAAATTGCTCACATGCTTTTAAATGGCCATGCAAGTTTTGGGATCACAGAGGATTTGGATTTGTTGGTTTATCGATGTAAGAAGGTTTGTAAGAAGGAACCTGGGGAATTATACTCTTTAACTCAATCAAGTAAACATTACATAATTATTAATAATATGGAACAACTGACAAGGTAGCCTCCATAATGCAGGTATTGTATTAAGATTGAGGTTGGCAAAAACTTGGTTTATTGGATGACTGCGAACAGCATTGAACTGAGAGGCACATTCTCTACACAGTTAGTCATTTAAATTCTTCTACACCCCAACCTTGGGCATACCCGGGGCAATCACCTCCTATTCACTAGTTTACTCCCTTTATGCCTAGGGTGGGGGGGGGGGGGCTGCAGGGGGTTCTGAATGACTGATGCATAAGTTTGTAAGAAGTTACATGACTGCCTATTAGGTAATAGTTAAACTCAAACTAAGTGGAGATAGTAAATATTTCCAACTTGCAGAAATATTGGGTGGTTTAAATGTAAACCAAAAACAGTTTCGGCAAATGTGTAATAGCTGCTGGTTGTTGTCTGTTCCCCTGGAGAATTGCGAGGTTGATCTTCCTGAAGTGCCTATGAAAAGCATTGTTATTACTCAAGGCTGAGTGAGAAAATCCTTGATTCTTAAAGTGTATATGCAATGAAAATTTCGATTTTGTGATTTTGCATTATCTGAAAATTTCATCTTTTCTGATCATTTTAATACCAATCTTGTTGAAAACTTCGAACTAGAAGTTTGTGAATTTTGCGTTTAAAGTTGGGCTATGAAAATTTTAGCTGATGAGCTCCTCTCACACGGCCAAGAGGTCATGATGACGTATGCAGTGTGACACAATGTGCTCTTCCTATATGTAAATACTATGAACAATGTAGTTTCAATTGCGTTGAATTGGGATTTTTTGATAATTTAAACAAAATCCAAATAAATCTGCATTATGTAGATGCGATACATTGGTTAATCAATGCAATGATATTACCATACAACGATTTATTGCTTATAAGCCGCCGAAATGCAAAATCAATGCTCTAGTAGCAGTATAGGTTTTGCTTACAGATTAGATTAAATTGACGCTGTTCAGATGTCGCTAGTTGTGGCATATTGTAGATATTTCCATATATATATATATATATATATATAGTCCATTGTAGATAGTTGGATATAGTTAGAATTTATACAGTTCGTACAATGATAGAATAGGCGAAATTAAATTAATTAAAGTAAACGAAGTTGACCTCAGAGTATACCGGAACGCAATATACTATAAACCTATAAACTACAGAATAAGCACCTCAGTTCGCACATCATATTTTAATCACAGAAAGCTCCAGCTTGCTTGTTTATGCTTTGGCCTTCAGTTGTGTCACATTTTCATCCATTTTCATTTGCTGAAACATGCTCTATCTATGTCCTGTTTGCACACAATTTATTCCTTATTCACTGGTTGTGGCATATTGTAGATATTTCCATATATATATATATATATAGTCCATAGGTTTATATACTATAAACCTATAAACTACAGAATAAGTACCTGTAGCTACCAATTAAACTAAACTGATCATGCATGTAATTTATGTTAATTACCTTGTTATTGATATATATATAGTTACTGTTAGGTGTAGACATATCACATATGCATAGTGTAAGTGAGCGAACAGTAGAGTAAAGTCTTTAAAGGAAGACTTGGATTATTGACTGGATTATAGTTATACGAACTAAAGACAAGAGACCATATAGTCGGTATGTGTATTTTAACTTGACATTTATGTTTGTCATAGTATTTGTTCATCTATTTGTACACCGTAATGTAAATAGTATTTGTAATGTACGTTTATATTTATTAATAGAAAACCTCGTTTTACAAAGATGTGAGTTTGGCTATATGTATTGCTTTAAAAAATCGGAGGATGTCCGATACAGTTTTCGACTAGTACTCCATCGAATTTAAGAAGCGATTCATGTGAATTGTTGGTGAATCTTGACGGTTTACAAATTTGAACATTTTATTGAAGTCGATTTGAACTGCCAACGTGGCACTGAATAAATTATGTTGAAATCACCAAGCGTGTCAACTAGAAGCAAATTTGAAGACGATAAGCCAGAAGAAATATTTCCCGAAGAATATTTACGCTATGAAGATGTAGAGCCGTCGAGAGAAAGAGAACCGAATAAAAGATTCCACTACGAAGGTTATAGAGACAAGAAAATCCGTCAATTATCAAAAAGCCGTTCAGGACATATCGGACTGTTGACAAGAATATTTAATGAGATTCGTGATTTAATTACGCATGAGAGAGGAAACGTGGGCGATATATCGTCAAAGTATGAAGCCTTTCGTGCAGCGTGGTATAAATTCATAGATGCACATGAAAATTATTTTGCTTTATTGGAAAGCGAAAGCAATAGAAAATTCGCAGTTGCAAGTTATGATGAACAGAAAAAAAGAAAGCTGAAACTTGATGCCATGGTAACCGATTGGCGTGATATGGTTGAAATGTTACGGCCCAGTGGTTCCAAATCCGAAAGTAAACGATCAAAGTCTGGAAGCCAACAGGTGTCACATGTAAGCTCAAATTTGTCAATAATATCGAAGAAAAGGGAAGAAATTGCACTTGCGCAGTTGAAACTAGAAGAATTGAAAGTACGTCAAGGATTTGAGGAAAAGGAACAAGAACTTAAAAGAATGAAAGAGTTGGCCGAAGCTGAAATGAAAGTTAAACGAGCAGCTGTTTCCTTAGAAATATATCAACAAGCTGAGGAAGAGAGAGGAAATGAGAGATCTAAGGGAGATATTCTTGAAGAAAATTTGATTCCGTCTTCATCGCCAAGTGTAAACGAACAGCTTCAAGAAAACGTTGGAAGTAGTCAACACAAAGTAGTTAAATCGTCAGCGTCTGTACCCGAGACTACAAACTTCCACCATAAAGAATTTGTTAGTGGTTTGTCTGATAGAAGATTTCCTCTTAAGAACGATTTACCACTGCTTAATGTCCGACGAAACAGAAATGTTTTACCAGATCAGATGCAAACACCTAGCACAACCTTTGAAATATACCGTCCAATTCCGTTCGAACAGCAACCATCTGCGCCAGGCCCCCTTCCTTTCGCGCCTCCTCAAGTATTAGAAGCCCCGAATGTGCCAGTTGCTGAACAAGATGTCCAATACGTTCCTACAACACGTTCCTACAACTTCGGTCCCTCCAGAATCCCCAATTCCTATCCAACTCGGTGGCAACCACCAATGGCTTACCAACCAACGCCAGTCATGCCAGCTGTTAACGTTGATATGGTGCAAGCTTTGAGACAAGTTGCTAATACACCTAAATTGGAGTATCTTCGTTTCGATGGTGATCCGATGAAGTATGGTGCATTCCTACAAAACTTCGAGAACTTTCTAGAACGAGATAATCCTGACGAATCGAGAAGGTTGCAACTACTGATACAGCATTGTTCGGGAAAGGCCAGAGAAGCAATCGAAAGTTGTGTAAGCTTGCCCCACAATGATGGCTATCACGTCGCGAAAGAGACATTGTATGAAAATTTTGGAAAGCCACATGTGATAGCAGAAGCACATACGAAGAAATTAATGAATTTACCAAGTTTGAAGAATGGTGATGGTCCTTCCTTATTACAGTTTGCAAGATATTTGGAAACAGCTCAACGAACTTTAACTGGTATGGGATCTTCATATGTAGCCGATTTGGATCATATGCATGTCTTAAGAGAGCTTGCTAAGAAGCTTCCGATGTATCTCAGATCCAGATGGACAGAATACGCAGGAAACATTTTTGAATCAAGACAACGACCACGATTTGAAGATTTTCTCAAATTTATCAAACAACGTGCAAAGCTGGTGAATAATGAATTTGGAAGAGACATGAATATTCCTTTCTCGAAGCCGAGGACGAGCGGTAAAGATTTGACAGGAAATGTTGGCAAATCGGATATGAAATACACGTCGTTTGCAGTAAGCGGAAAAGAGTATCCAAAACAATTAATTCCACCCAGTCAAAGGTTGAATTGTGAAGTTTGTTCTGGACAGCATAGAGTATGGAATTGTCATCAGTTTAAAAAATCCGAATATAAAACGAAGCGCAGAATTGTCTTGCAAAATGGACTCTGTAATAAGTGTTTAGAGAAAGGACACATTGCAAGAACTTGTCCCAAAGCACATTTCAAATGTATGGAGGTTGGTTGCGGTAAATCACACCACACCTTAATGCACCTACCTAATGATGAAAAGAATTCTTCTTCCAAGCAGCAACCGAAGACAACAAAGTCAGCACAAACCCAAACTGGGGCCGGTGATCAACATGAAGTTCCAGAAAAACAAGGTACTGAAAGTAGTTCAGTCGCGACAACTCATGTAGGAGGAAGCAGAATATGTTTAGGAGCAGTTCCAGTTAGAGTCCGAGGGATCAATGGTACACAAGAAGTACAAACATACGCTCTGCTAGATAATGGATCAGAAGTTACTTTGTGTGATGAGAGACTAGCTAGGAAACTAAACATAGACGGTGAAAATACGAATTTTACGTTAACGGGAATTAATGGCTCTGTTGAAGTAGAAAGTCAACTTGTTGATATTGTTGTGATGTCATTGGATGGATCAACGGAAGTGGAGCTACAGAAGGTGAAAACGGTTAAAGAGATACCAATTTCAAATGGCTGCGTACCAAGACAAGCCGATGTCAACAAATGGCCACATCTCCGTGATATGAATATTCCAGAATTAGAAGACAGAAATATCATGCTGTTAATTGGTTTGAAAGAAAAGCCTCGTCTGTTTCTTCCGCTGGAATGTAAAGAAGGTGGTGATGGCGAACCAATAGCAATTCGCTACAGCCTTGGATGGACTGTTATGGGCCCTGTAGGTGACGAAAGAGAGAACGATGGTTTCTCCGTAAATTTCACTCGAGTTAAAGATCAAACCCCAGTGACAGTATATCGTGACGATTCTTCTGAATTTCTAAACAATGAGAAAATACTCGAAGTAAGGAAGACGAACGGTCAATTTTGCGATGAAGTAAAAGATCGAGATCAGGTGAATGATGACATTCTCTTACATCAGTTACAACGACTATGGAACACTGACTTTAAAGATTTAAAAGCGAACGACAAAGTGTTAGCTTCAGTTGAGGATGAAAGAGCGTTGCATGTAATGGAAAAAAGCGTAAAGTTGGTCAATGGACACTTCCAGGTTGCATTACCTTGGCGAAAGGATCCACCCGATATTCCCAATGACAAGATAATGGCAGAAAGAAGACTTCGTTCCTTAAAGAATCGACTAGCGAAGGATACTGAATTGTTTATCAAATATACCAAAGCTATGCAGGATTACATCGACAAAGGACATGCCCAGAAAGTACCCAAGGAAGAATTGAACAAAAACAACGGAAAAGTTTGGTATCTCCCTCATCACCCAGTCACTCACCGATTAAAGCCGGATAAGACTAGAATTGTGTTTGACTGTGCAGCCAAGTTCAATGGTGAATCCCTCAACCAGCATTTGTTAACTGGACCCGATTTAGCTAATTCCCTGGTCGGAGTCATAATTCGGTTTCGCCAAGAATCAATCGCAGTTGTCGCCGACATTGAGTCGATGTTCTACCAAGTATTGGTTGAGCCGAAAGATTGTGATGTATTCAGATTTCTCTGGTGGGAAAATCACAACCTTGAAGATGCGCCTACAGAGTATCGAATGGTGAAACATGTGTTTGGTGCTACATCCTCACCAAGTGTTGCAAATTTTTGTGTAAAGAAGACCGCATCATCCTTTGGTCAAGAATTTGAGCCAGAAGTGTCAGAAACGTTAGAAAAGAACATGTACGTTGACGATTTGATGAAGTCTGTAGATACACCAGAGAAGGCTATTAAGCTATCAGAACAACTCCGCGAATAATTAAGCAGAGGAGGGTTCAGATTAACGAAATGGCTTAGCAATGATCGAAAGGTCCTTGAAGAAATTCCTGAAAGCGAAAGAGCAAAATCGGTTGTTAACTTGGAAATCGATAACTTACCTACAGAATGTGCTCTTGGAGTGAAGTGGAATGTGGAGACGGACAAATTTATCTGGGAAGTTCGCGAAGAGACTATGACATTGGCTAAACAAAAGCTACCAACGAGACGGGGAATGTTGTCCGTAATATATTCACTTTTCGATCCGATCGGATTTATTGCTCCCTATATAATGAAGGCGAAGCTACTGTTGCAAGATCTGTGCCGAAAGCAACGAGCTTGGGACGACGAAATCGAAGAACAAGAAAAACAACAATGGCACCGTTGGTTGACTGATCTTCCTAAATTAGAAGAAGTGAATACAGATCGTTGTTTCAAACCGAAAGATTTTGGTGAAGTAAAGAGCTCGAAGCTGCATATTTTCTGTGATGGCTCACGTGTGGGATACGGAGCCGTGGCTTACCTACGATTAGAGAACAACGACGGACGTATTCATTGTTCATTCGTACTTGCAAGGGCACGTCTTGCACCCATTCGCGAAATCACCATCCCAAGATTGGAGTTATCTGCGGCAGTAATGGCTGTACAGCTGCGTCAAACAATTGATGAAGAGCTAGAATATAAAGTGGATAGCGTAACGTTTTGGACGGACTCCATCTCTGTTCTGAAATGCATTAAGAATGAAAACAAACGTTTCCATACATTTGAGTCTAATCGTTTGACTGTGATACGGAATGGATCTTCTGTCTCTGAATGGAGATATGTCGAAGGCAAGAAGAATCCGGCTGATGATGCATCCAAAGGTTTGAAATTGGAAGAGATGTTAGCTAATAAACGGTGGTTAGAAGGTCCAGACTTCCTGTGGAATAGTGAAGATTCCTGATGAAAGTACACCAAAGGAAAGTTGGAGATAATGTTTCCAAAGTGAAAACTGGTGATTTGGAAGTTAAAGAATTGAAGCAAGCAGAAATAGACATTGTTCGTTTCGTTCAGTCTATGTCATTTCCCGAGCTAGTAAAATTTGAAAATAATAAGCATCTTTCAAATGGAAACTATACGAAGAAAGTTCTTAAGGAAACCAAGACGTCGTTATACCAGCTAAACCCATTGGTGAGGGACGGTGTTTTGGTCGTAGGAGGACGACTTAAGAATGCACAAATCAACGAAGAAGCGAAACATCCGATAATCCTTCCATATAAGCATCACATAACGGATCTTATAATTAAACATTATCATGTCAAGGTTGGTCATATGGGTCAGGAATCTGTGTTGGCATCATTAAGAGAAAGATTTTGGATCCTAAAGGGACGATCAGCAGTTCGTCAAGTAATTCGAAGATGTATCGATTGTCAGAAAAGAAAGAAACCACCAAGTGAACAATTTATGGCAGATTTGCCTGAAGATAGGATCAAAGCTTATGAACCTCCATTCACGTTTGTAGGAGTTGATTATTTTGGTCCCTTGGAAGTAAAGCAAGGTAGAAGTCGGGTTAAAAGATATGGTTGTATCTTTACTTGTTTGAGTATTCGTGCTGTGCACATCGAAATAGTGCATTCATTGGATACGGATGCAATGATCAACGCGTTAAGAAGATTCATAAGTCTACGAGGATATCCTAAAGAAATTAGAAGTGATTGTGGTACTAATTTTATGAAAGCAGATAAGGAATTAAAAGCTAATATCGAGGAATGGAATCAACTGAAAATTGGAACTTTCTGTGCTCAAAAGGGAATAAAATGGACGTTCAACCCACCAAGTGCGAGTCATATGGGCGGTGCATGGGAACGATTAATAAGATCCGTACGTCAGATTCTTCGAGCGCTGCTGAAGGAACAAATTGTTGGAGACGAAGTTCTATTAACCGTCGTGGCTGAGGCAACAACCATCTTAAATAGTAGACCCCTTACGAGAAATAGTGATGATCCACGAGATGAAATACCTCTTACCCCAAATCACTTGCTACATTTACGCCCTTGTCCTGCATTACCACCCGGAGTGTTTACAGAGCATGACCATTATAAGCGTCGATGGAAACAAGCTCAATATTTAGCTAATATATTTTGGAGACGATGGATTAAAGAGTATCTTCCAAATCTTCAAATTCGACAAAAGTGGATGCAACGAAAAGAAAACATAAAGGTTGGAGATCTCGTACTTCTCATGGACGAAAATTACAGACGAGGACAGTGGCCGCTTGCCCGCGTTGTCGAAGTGTTTCCAAGTGAGGATGGTTTAGTCCGCAGTGTTAATTTGAAGACAAGTTCAACAGTGGTTACTCGAGCCAAACGAACACGACGCGGAGAGATAAAAACAACAATGACCTATCTTACCCGTCCAGTGACGAAAATATGTCGTTTGGAAATGGACATGCAATGAAGATAAGTGAATACATGAAATATTGGTAGCCTCTCATTAATTTGTAAATGAAGCTTATGAGTTAGTATTCATTTAGGGGCCGGTGTAGCTACCAATTAAACTAAACTGATCATGCATGTAATTTATGTTAATTACCTTGTTATTGATATATATATAGTTACTGTTAGGTATAGACATATCACATATGCATAGTGTAAGCGAGCGAACAGCAGAGTAAAGTCTTTAAAGACTTGGATTATTATATATATTTAGTGGGTTTATTAATACACGTTCAATAGCAAAAAGCTAAATTACAAAGTGTTTACATCGTCAGATATTAATTAGAATTAATTAGAATTATTACTTATTTAAAACTATTTACATCAATGGACCTATATGTATATTAAAATCGTTTATATATATATATATACATATATGGAATTGTATAAAATGTATATAAATCTTACTTTTCTAATTTAAAATTATATTCATTAATAGCATGAACTACAGGGCTGTTTCTAAAACGTTCAGTGTTGCAAAAAAAGTTATAAATCTTTTCACCATTTGTCCTAGTCTCTCTTTCCCTGATGTCACTCAGTTTCTTTGGCAATAGTCCGTGAAGTCTGTGTAATGGTTGTAACATGTTCTCAATTAAGGAGGCACATAAATTGTTTCTGCGTTCTTCTAAGGTCAGCAGATTGCTCTGAGATAATAGAAGTCCATAATCACAAAGGCCAGGATAAATTATTCTGAGGGCTTGTTTTTGGATTCTTTCTATGTTTTTCTTATGCATTTGTGTCAGACCACCACTCCAGATTTGTGCACCATACTCCAGAACAGAACGAATTACTGTACAATAGAAAGCTAATAGGTCATTTTTTGGTGCACCATAACTCTTTAAGATCTTCAAGAGGTAAAGTCGCTTAGCGCCTTTTTTTACAATATACTCAGTGTTGGTTTTCCATCTGATGTCATCGTCTATCCATATTCCTAACAATTTATACGACTTTACACGGGATATTTTATCGTCGCCAATATTAATCAGTGGTATTTCTGTTTTCTTCTTCCGAAAATCAATTAGCATTTCTTTACATTTTTTCCCATTCAGTTCCATACTCTCATCCTTTGCAAATTGCACTACGTTATTTACACTTCGTTGGGTGTTACCAATTGGACTACCAGATGAATGTTGAGTTATGGTAATGACTTCGGACAATGTACTATCATCAACGAACATAGCTATATCTTGATCATCAGATGCTTCACATATCTGTTCCTGCTCATTAGGTATAGCGACTTGTGGGAGATGGTTAATTTTTAGGATAAATGCTATTGGACCCAGCTTGCTACCCTGTGGGACTCCTCCCCTGATCTTTCGCAGGTCTGATTGCTCACCTTGAAATGATGTAAATTGCGATCTGCCATGTAGATAGGACGCAAACCAACCCACTAATGCGGGCCGTACACCGATTCCAGTGAAGGTCTCAAGAAGCTTGTTGTGATCTACAAGATCAAACGCCTTCCGAAAATCAAGAAAAACAATTCTAATGACCTTTCCTGGAGTGTGCATTGCCGAGTGCCATTTATGCAGTAAGTAGATCAAGGCTTGAACTGCAGATGTACCAGGAAGGCCGCCAAACTGGAATTCACTAATTTTTTCCCGAACATCTTCATAAATCCATTTGGTGGCGTATGACTCTTGGACTTTGGACAAGGTACTTGTTAGCGCAATTGGTCTCAGAAGATCTACTGAACAGCAAGGCTTGATCTTTGGTATTCCACACACCTTGGATACTTTCCATATATCCGGGAAGAGCCGACAAGAAAAGGACTCATTAAATATGTGTGTTAGAGGCCCTGCAAAGTATTTTGCATATATTGACTGGATTATAGTTATACGAACTAAAGACAAGAGACCATATAGTCGGTATGTGTATTTTAAATTGACATTTGTGTTTGTCATAGTATTTGTTCATCTGTTTGTACACCGTAATGTAAATAGTATTTGTAATGTACGTTTATATTTATTAATAGAAAACCTCGTTTTACAAAGATGTGAGTTTGGCTATATGTATTGCTTTAAAAAATCGGAGGATGTCCGATACATAAGGACAGAAACATTTATACTTTGTAGTTGGCACTCCTATGCTCAAATTCAACATGGCGGATATATAAGGGCATTTTTGTTTTCAATTTGGACACCTGTCACGTGACCTAGCACGCATTCTAGGTCTAATATTTCTATGCTTTCAGCCCATCGTACGATTCGAGCACATGATATAATTGTTAAATTTTCAAGTTCCCTCTCATCAAGCAACAGGAATAAATTTCCACATATTCTTTACTCATGCACAAATCCCTTGCTATAAAATTTCTCAAGTTTGTTAAAAACAAATCACTTTGCGAAATACTGTTCATTGTTTTCGATAAGTACACTATAAATATCAACAAACAACAAATCAACAACCACAAATAACAATATGAATGACAACAAATCAAAAAGCTACAGCAGATGCATGGTGGCAATAGCAAAAAAAAACAATAGCGAAAACGAAACGCAATAACAACGACCTCCACAGGAACACCGCCACCAACAATATATAATTGAAAATATTGATTTAGCCATACGTATACATGGTTGTTTACCTGAGCATTTTTTACCATTTCCTGCATAACCAGTGAGACAAGCACAGTTGTAGGAACCATTGGTGTTGATACAATTCGAGTTCAAATCACAATCGTTGCTGGTCGGTTCAGAACATTCATCTATGTCTAAAATGTGAAAGATTTCGAGGGTTTTCGGAAACTTATATATCGAGCACTTTGTTTATTCGCGATTTTGTATAAGTTTTATCCTATTAGGACATTTTATACATGTGAAATTGTATCCATCACCATGATAACTTCTGCGACATTCACGGTGGTATGGAACAACTATTCATACATCTCGCGTTTGCATGTCATGAGTGCGAGTCATGAAAACACGATGTTCAATAGTTGTGAATGGATCTGATGCGAGGTGGGTACGTGGTTTGAGAGAATGTCGGCTATATGTATAATGGTGCATGGTCATCGGGTTTTTGTAAGGTTTGTATTTTCCATTGCGGAGGTCGAAATTACGGACAACTAGAAATTTGCCACACACGTAGATTTGCCCCTCCAGTGATTTTTAAGTTAAGTTGCTCGAAAGTAATGTGACTAGAAATATTACTATCAAGTTATTTAGGTTTTGAGTATAAATTTATTAGCGTGTATACACGTACGGTGAAGTTCATTGCGTCTGTTATGTGTTGCTATGTACGGTTTATAAACTGGTTGATAGCTTTCAGCCATAGATATAATAGACCTAGAATGCGTGCTTCTATCTTTTCTTAGAAAAAAATATGTCTTCACAAAATGGCGGATTTATGAGGGCATTTTGGCTAGTCCCAGATTCCTGCGGCAAGCAATTTCGCGCGGTTGCAGGGAGAACGCGAATTGTTTTTTTTTCAACCAAGTTTGCAAAAACAATTATATCAAGACTAGAGGGGAAAAAACAGTTTTTTAAAGGAGAAAAAGTGTCTAAAAACCCATTCCAGTGCTGGCTTTTTTACGAAAAGAACTAGTTCTGAACAGAATATATACACAATCATCGTTTCAAAATACATTTTCAACGTTGTTGTGCAAGCCAAAAGAGAACACGAAAGATCAAGACATACTCAAACTCAATAATAAGGAATCTTCTAAAAATATTTCAGCTGTTTTATAATATAAATGGAGTTTAGTAAACTTACACAACTACTTTTTTATATTTTTTTACGTTGCTTGAGCTTGAGACAACGCTTTTGAAACCATAGTTTTCAACGATTATTTTTAATAATAGGCGATTTACAGTTTATCGACAACTAAATATTTTTGTTTCAAAAACATGAAAACACTTCGTTTCGATTGAAGAAAAACGAAACCCGACAAAGAATAAACTATCATTTCGTAATTTAATAAAATATTAGCAATGCAGTTACGTTCAGAGCATGCAAAAATGTTTTATGAGTAAATTATATTTTAAATTAACACCCGAAACTACTTTGTTTTTACAAAGCTGCACGATTTTCACCGTTTTTGTCAGTAACTGCACAGTCATTTGCTTCTAGTCTTGAAAGAACTTAATATTACAAAATATATCCCCAAACTACAAATTAGAGAGCAATACAAAACCTTTTGACGCTTTGACGCAAAACCTTTTAGCTTTATTTATACTTTGTAGTTGGCACTCCTATGCTCAAATTCAACATGGCGGATTTCAGATAAGCACATTTTTGTTTTCAATTTGGACACCGTCACGTGATCAAGCACGCGTTCTAGGTCTAATAGTTCTATGCTTTCTGCCCATCATACGATTCGAGCACATGGTATAATTGTTAAATTTTCAAGTTCCCTCTCATCAAGCAATAGGTATAAATTTCCTCATATCATTTTCTCTTGCACAAATCCCTTCCTATAAAATTTCTCAGGTTTGATAAAAACCAATCACTTTGCGAAATACTGTTCATTATTTTCAATAAGTACACTATAATTATCAACAAACAGCAAATCAACAGCCACAAATAAGAATACGAATGACAACAAATCAAAAAGCTACAGCAGATGCATGGTGGCAATAGCATGAAAAAAAAACAATAGAGACCTTTAGATTTCGGGCTTGGATGTCAAGTTCGCATTTAGTTTTTACACCTTTTCAGTTTTCGCGCTTTTTGTCTGTTGACATAGCATTTCAGAGAACGAGATTCTTAAAAGATAGTTAAGCTATCCCTACACTTTTAGTGGTTAAAATATCTTCGTAATATAGTAAGAATATATTATTGATAAAATGCAATACAACTTTAATATATAAGTTGTCAATATATCGCAGCCATTTTGAATACATGCTATTCCAGTGGCCACTTCAAATTTGAAAAATCAACATGCTTAAAAGATTTAATCGAACTCAATCATTATTTATATTTAAGGACTAAACGTATACCAACAAAAATGGACTATAATTACACGAAATAATTCGACGAAATAGATATGAAAAGCTTGCGGGAAATGACTTACGTGAAAAACCTTCTCTTGCGTTGAAAACCTCAAGACTATACGGAAAACGCAACCGCTGGGATGTAGTAACGTGGTCTCTTGACGTTTGCGGTTTGACGTTTCAACCAAAAACGAACATCTAAATGTCTCTAATAGCGAAAACGAAACGCAACAACGACGTCCACAGGAACACCGGCACCATGCAACAATGTAATTGAAAATATTGATTTAGACATGCGATGGTTGTTTACCTGCGCATTCTGTACCATTTCCTGCATAACCAATGCGACAAGCACAGTTGTAGGAACCATTGGTGTTGATACACTTCGCGTTCAAGTCACAATCGTTGCTGGTCGGTTCAGAACATTCATTGATGTCTGAAATGGGAAAGATTTCGAGGGTTTTTGGAAACTTATAAATCGAACACGTTGCTTATTCGCGATTTTCTGTAAGTTTTATTCTGTTAGGACATTTTATACATGTGCAATTGTATCCATCACCATGATAACCTCTGCGACATTCACAGTGGTATGAAACAACTATTCACACATCTCGCGTTTCCATGACATGATGCAAGTCATGCAAACACGTTCAATATAGTTGTGAATGAATGCGACGCGAGGTGGGTGGTTTGAGTGTCGCCTATGTATAAGATGGAGTCATTATGGTCATTGGGTTTCTATAAGGTTTGTATTTTCCATGATTGCGGCAGTCGAAATTTCTGACAACTAGAAATTTGCCATACACGTAAATTTGCCCCTCCAGTGATTTTTAAGTTAAATTACTCGAAAGTAGTGTGTTATTTAGGTTTTGAGTATGTTATTTACGTTTAAGTTATTTAGGTTTTGAATATAAATTTATTATCGTATGCACACGTACAGACAAGTTCATTGTGTCGGTTATATGTTGCTAGATCGAGTTTGTAAACAGGCTGATAGCTTTCAGCTCATCCTACCACATGGTACAATTTTTAAATTTTAGAGTTTGCTCTCATCAAACAACAGGAATAAATTCCCAAATATACTTTACTCTTGCACCAATCCCTTCCACTAAAATTTCTCAGTTTTGTTAATTAAAGACAAGTCACTTTGCGAAATACTGTTCATTATTTTCGATAACTACACTATATTTATCAGCATACAACAAATCAACAACCACAAATAACAATATGAATGACAACAAATCCGAGAGTTACAGCAGCTGGTGCTAATAGCAAGAAAAAATCAGAACCAACAACAATGTCAGCAACAATAGCGAAACCGATACGCAACAACGACGTCCAAATGAACACCGCCATCAACAATACAACTGAAAATATTGATTTAGCCATGCGTAAATAGTTGTTTACCTGAGCATTCTTTATCATTTTTTGTAAAACCAATGTGACAAACACAGTTGTAGGAACCATTGGTGTTGATACACGTCGAGTTCAAATCACAATCGTTGCTGGTCGTCGGTTCTGAACATTCATCAATGTCTGAAATGGGAAGGATTTCCAGAGTTTTCAGAAACTTATAAATCGAGCATGTTGTTTATTCGCGATTTTGTGTAAGTTTTATTCTGCTAGGACATTTCATACATGTGCATTTGTATCCATCACCATGACAACCGCTGCAACATTCACAGTGGCATGAAACAACTATTCACACATCTCGCGTTTGCATGACATGAGTGTCAGTCATGCAAACACGATGTTCAATAGTTGTGAATGGATCTGATGCGAAGTGGGTACGTTGTTTGAGAGAGTGTCAGCTATATGTATAATGGGTGCATGGTCATTACTAGGTTTCTATAAGGTTTGTATTTTCCATTGCGCATGTCGAAATTATAGTGTGAACTAGAAATTTGCCATACACGTAAATTAGGCCTACTTAGTGCCATAGCAAGTTCGATAACTGGGGGGATCATATTCAAATATTCGTGTTCACAGACCATAAAAACAGTCGATTTCAAAAGAAATTAATAACGCAGAACAAGAAAATATGAATATGATACGTCACTGCTACTCTGGAATCTGAACTCGCTTTAAATCGCCTAAAATCGCGGGTTAAAATTGTCAAATTTCTCTTAAATTGCCTAAAATCGATTAAAATCGCAATAACTCGCCAACAGGCATTGTTTTGATACATTCAGGTCTATGTACACAAGTTTATCAATTGCTGCTGTTTTTCTGGTAAATCATGTAACCCAGTTGTTTTGCAATCAAAAGTAATACACTGTGCCTTTCTACTCCCTGTGAGTTGTGGCTCTTTTGGAAATCAAATATTATATTTTGCAATTTTAAGTTTTAGCTCAACATAAATTGATAAAATCAAAGTTTAAGACATGTGTAATTTACTTATAGGTTGGCACATTGCAACGTCGCGTTCAAATCACAATCGTTGCTGGTCGGTTCTGAACATTCATCGATGTCTGAAATGGAAGAGGTTGCCAGAGTTTTCGGAAACTTATAAATCGAGCATGTTGTTTATTCTTGATTTCAAGTACGTTTTATTTTGTTAGGATATTTCATACCTGTACAGTTGTATCCATCACCATGATAACCGCTGGGACATTCACAGTGGTATGAAACAACGGTCTCCACACATCTCGCATTTACATGACATGAGTGTGTGCCCATAGAACACTCGTCTGCGCCTAAAATATTTAGTATATGAATTGAATTGATTTAATAATTACTGACTTTGTAACCAAAAAGTTAAATTACACCAGTATTACATAAATTTAAGAGAAGTTGAAACTACATAATTATTACATATTTAAGAGTATTTACATTTCTAAAAACTTACTTATTTATGTTAAATAATCTTTAAAATACTTTGAGGCAAAAACGAATTCTTAAGACGCATGGCCAGAAATCACGGACATAAATTATTGTACTTCCTTACTAATTTGCATATCACTTTGAAGTATGGTTCCAAGAGTACATAGTAGATTGTACAACGTGATGTTGTTAACGCAAAATCGGAGAACATCATAGATCCTTTGGAATTTGCCGCAATCGCTGGTTGCAAAACAAAGCCTGTCGAAGAATTTAGTGTAATATTAGCCTGATTTAAGTTACTACCATTCCTGCTTTTCCTATATTTGTAAGGAGGTTAATTTTTAACTACATTTGTCTATTTAACTCTATATAACAATACCGCACTAGGAATAAACTAAAAAGCAAGGGAAAAAACCGGAAATTAAACTAGGCCAAAATTACACTAGATACATCGACAGACTTTCATTTAGCACCAGCAATTTCGGCAAGTTGCAAACGACCTACCATATTCTTAGATTTTGCGATTTACCTCATCGCGTTGTACTTCTATATATACTGTTTAGAGTTAAAGCCATATTTCAAAGTAATATGTAATTTTTTATGAAATTAGAATTAATTTTGTCCGTGATTTCTGGCCATGTTCAGTTCTATACAAACATAACAGTATGATATTAACATATTAGTCTTAGATCGTATCCAGATAAAATTGTTTGTGGTAAAAGATGTTGGAGTTTTTCATTGTCAATATTCTTCTCAAAGAAATATTCGCATATTTTTTTCTCGGCGATCCCTCGGCGACATGATGTTGGACGTGATCAGTGCTTCATCATATTTTTTTGATGGAAGGATGATCCAGTCTCAATGCTCGTTTTTGAATTTGTTCAATATCTTCACATCAATATTGGATATTATCGCCCCATGTGAGGTAATCCAGGAGGTATTTGGATTCCGGATCCTACTCCTTGGATTCCGGATTCCACATCTTGGATTCTGGATTCCGGAACTGTAGTGGATTCCGGATTCCAATTTATTATTTTGTGTATTCCAAAGCCAATAAATACACTTTCAGTTCCCAGTGCACCTGTTACTGTATATATTATCAAAGACGTTTTGATAATAAAAGATATAGGTTCAAATAAGTACATCAAAATTATATATCGACACTCTGTAGTGCAACTAACATTGTTTTTGTTTCGCGGCAAGGCCCTCTTCAGAAACCTTTCTAAAAAGTTAATTGTGGTGTCAACGGTGGGAAAGAACAACGATTTTTAACTTCTGGGAAATTTTTTTGATTACCCCAAAATTCTACGCGTGTCTTGGTTTACTTGCTCTTGACACTTATTGTTCTGGTAAAATCAGTACCTAACAAAATTACAATAAATACATATTTTTTCCAATAAAATTACCAAATATCGCGCCGAGTAGATGGTTGTTTCACTATCTATCAATGAAGAGACTTATGGTGAGTAGCTTAGCCTAGTAACAATAACTATGAGATAAATATACTATTTAATCTATATGTAGACTACCAAACTTTCATGATCAAGAAAATGTTTCACAGCTTTGCTACTCAGTTATTATTCTTGGCCACTGATACTGCATTTGTAGCCTAACAGAACATCCTCTAAGTGGTGTTGTAACAATCCAGTGTTTGTATTAATCAGCTGACATAGGATAAGTAACAATTACTTTAATTACAATATTTCGAAGTATAGCCTTCTCTTTAGGTAAGCAACGCAGCTGCATGTAAAGGTATGAAAACTTTTAATTAACTTTAAACACTTTAAACTTTAATGCATGTCAAACAACTACATATCTTAAAAACATGGAGCTATACTTCGAATTACTAACTAATCTCTGTGGCTTATTATGACTAAACCTGTGGTTTAAAGCATGATCATGGGTTTTACTTTGTTGGGCAAACAAAGCCAGTCGGGCAATATTCGCTTCACAGTCGGGCAATATTGGCTTATTATAAAAATAAATGGGACAAATTCTGTCAATTGTGTGGGAAATTCTGTCAATTTTGTGGGAAATATGCTATCTGATAGGAATTTTTCGTAATCACTCCCCCGCCCCCCCTCCCCGTTGACAACAATTTTGGAAAGTTTCTCCGGAAATTTTTTTGACACCGCGGGCACAATCCGAAAAAGTCGGGCAAATTGCTGTTCCCCTCTAATTTTTTTCCTTCCCGTACGCCCATGTTCGCTAACCTGAATATCGGATTAACCTTAAGGTTCACATTTTAAAATTAATGCATAGGGATAAAATGAATAATTATTGTAGAAACATGTACTGTATCACTATAGCTGAGAAGGAAACGCGTTGTTCTTCCAGACAGGCTGACACCCGGAAATCTTGGGGAAAGTGCGGCAAGTTTAACACTTCCCCCATCTCTTCTTCCATCTCTTCTTCCACATGCTATTGCTCCTCGTCTCCAGTTTCCTCATATCCATTAGCAATGCGTGATACTTGAATGTTCTCCTCCGGAGAGACTAGAAACTGTTCGCGTTGAAACAAAATCCCGCGGGAGTCGGCCATGATACACTTCGGGGAGTTCTTGTCACAGGTATCACCCATAGATATCCTATATACACTAGATAGCGCATCTCTTTAAGTAAAATTGAAGCCAAGAATATTCTAGCGGTTACCCCCATTTGAATAGATGGCGGCCATGTTGAAGTTTCCCACTCGCTAATAAACGCTTAAAAACAATAACTTTCATCATTTGAACAGTTTGAAAATGTATTTGGAATAGGTTTAACTTAATGTTTAAGTTCCCTGTTTAAAAAATAGAAAACAAACGAGTCTTCTGATTTCATGGGAATATCCTGAGCCTGCAATCACGTCTTCAATTTTTGAATAGCAGAGTGGATCCTCTGTTTGGTTAAGCCATCGAATGCTCATATTGTTCCTCAAGAACATTCCACTGTCAGCTTCGACGCAAACGTCCTCCAGAAGAATAGCTAAACAGTACGGGGATGGTTCCCTCCTTAAATTGTGGCTGATGACGACGACGTCACCCTGGGTACAGAACCCTAACCAGTGCTGCATGAATTGCCTCGATTACTGTTGGGTGCATTGACAGTCTGGCATTCTTACCCAATGTCCTCCACTTCTTCCGAGGCGGTAACGGCGGCTGGTCTCATGCTCAAGGAATATTGAAGGGTTCCTGTAATCTTTTTCTTCTTTGTAGGAACGTTTTCTTGTCTCACTTCCCTGCCGTATTCGCTTACAAATTCTCACATTACTTCCTCGCGCCTTTTTTCATTGTCTTTCTACCCACTTCCCTTACTCGCAACACTTTGCTTTGTTGCACGGGAGGCCATGTTGGGCGTGTCGCTCTTGATAATTTCCTCACGGTAAAATAAATTGGGTCCAGTGAAATACGAACAAATATGATTACAACAAATATGCTTTTTTTTTAAATTAATAAAACAATGGATTTCAGAACGACCTGGGCTCTGAATTCCGGATTCCTCAGTTATTTGGATTCCAGACTCCACTGTCTGAATTCCGGATTCCAAGACTCCGGATTCCGGATTCCTAAAAAAAAAATAAAGTCGGAATCCGGATTCCGGATTACCTCACACGGGACGAATATTATAATGCCAGACCTGGAACGCATACTCCAAAGCAGGTCTAATAATTGTACTATATTCAGTAATCAATGTGTCTACACACGTGTTGCACCTTTTCAGCAGCCTTAGCATATAGAGTCAGCCTCTTGCTAGCTTTTTATCTATGTTGTGTATATGTTCATTCCACTTCATGCTGTCAGTTGAACTGTGACGCCAAAGACAAGGGCAGATTTTGCTCGTTCACTATCAACTTCATCCAATGCTAAAGGAGCGAAAGCAATGCTTCTCTTCTGCAAAATCAATAACCAGCTCTTTGCATTTTCCGATGTTTAGTTTCATATTACTACTCGTTGTCCAATTATCGATGTAATTAACCAGATTTTGAAGATTGCTGTTACAGTCTGGGGTAATGGTTTCAGTAGTAGTAGTATCGTCAACATATTTCCATCGATCCTTCCAATCGGCGAGAAGATAATTTATCATGACTGGGAAGAGGATTGGGCCTAAAAAGTTACCAGTAGTACTCCACCGTTGAGGATTTGCCATTAGATACTTTAAAATTGCGCAACGCAGGCGGTACTGTATTGGTAATATTGTAAATTATTTCAAATATTTAAACTTTAAAAAGAATTCGAAAATTAGACTTATTTTAAAAAATGTATGTAGTTAACGTTGGGGCTCTGTTAAGGAATGCCTTAACATATCTATACAAAAACACTACATCCATGTATTTTGAATTAAACCCACTTGCTCTAAATTAGTATTTTGGATGATTTTATATCGCATTCGTACCTATAATCTTTTTGTTTTAGTGGCAGAAACTATGAGGGCAATAACTTCTTGAAGCCTGAATCAGAAATAGCTTTAGCAGTGTAAATTTGCATCTTATTTTATGTCTGCCACTGGAAAATGAGAAGTGGCGTATATTACTCACATTATGCCTCACATTTAAAATTTGCATGATGTAAACAATTTATACTATATATAATGACTACTTTTTGAGGTATGTAAAGATATATTAAACATGATGTTACTTTGTTACTTTTATGAAATGATGCATTGTTTCACAAAGACAAAGGGGATAAAAATATCAACAACTCAACATGCAAGGCTAATAATAAATGATAATATATCATGTTCAATGATAATATATCCATGATAATATATTCTTCAATAATGATATATTATGTTCAATATAGGCATACAGGTTCAGGAAGGAAAAAATTAGGGGAGCGGAAAAAATTGGCCCATTGTGCCCGATTTGTCGAAAAAGAAATTCCGTGAAAACATTCCAGAATTTTTGTTCAAAATTATGTATTATCATAACATATGCCAATATTGAGAGAATTTCTCTTTTTATTTTTATAAACCAATGTTGCTCGACTGTGAAGCGAATATTGCCCGATTGGCCTAGTCTGTCCAACAATCTGAGGGCCAACTGCCCCACCTGCCCCTCCCCTCCCAGTCTTGCATGCCTATGATGTTCAAGCAATGAATAGTATACATAACAGCCACTGGTTTGACAGGTAATTATAACTAGGTATAGTCACATAAAATGATCAAATATGAATCTAGAACGTTTTTTTGGCAATGATGTTTTCTGATGTTCAGTTCTTGTTTGTAAGTTTACAAAAAAATTCTAGAATTGCCCGTTGCTGTTTTTGTATTAGCATCATTTGCAAGTTTTCAGTTTGTTGCATGCGTTGTTGAAATTGCTGCTGCTGTTTCTGCTGTTGCATGTTTTGGTCCTGCATTGCATGTAGCATCTCCATTTGTTGCTTGCTGGCATCCTTATGTATGGCCAAGTTCGCAGTGTGTTTCTTCTCCTCCAATTCTAACATTTTCTATTTGACTTCCATCTCCTCTTTCTGCACCTTTTTCTCACTCTCGAATTTTTTCTTCAAATATATAAACCAGCTCCCCTCCACTTCTTCGTTTCCTTTTCGGTTTTTTTTTCTCCGTTTCTTCGCCTTTTCGTTTTTGAGAATGTTTCCATTGCAGTCCGTCTCACATCATCACTTGTTACTGGTCAGCTTTTTCTTGATTCATTCGGCTTGCGTCTTCTTGTTCTGCTTCACCAATCTGCTCGGCTATATAAATCTCTTCAAGTAGGATATCATGCAAGCGCTAGCTCTGTTTTCTCTGGCGAGATACCACTTGCCTCCTCTTCCTGTCTCATTTTCGTTTGGTACTTTTCCTGAAAGACTGCCAAGTGCTTTCGAATTGATCTTTGTGTCACAATAAACTTAGGTCTCACCAAATAATTCATGTTGTTTGCAATCTGTGTCCATAGTCTAGCTACCTCGTTCGACCGATCCCTTCTTGCTTTGGAATGGATTTACCAACCGAATATCTCGACAATAAATTATGTTATGTTCCATAGTCCACCCCATCTGATAACAACAACAAAAATATCACTTTATATTGGTTTTGAAAAGTAATGTCACCATAGATATCTCATATACACTAGATAGCGCATCCCACCCTGTAGGCAGGCGAAAATTGAAGCCTGATCGCAGTCGCAGTTTATGTGCGGCGGCCATATTGGTCGTTCCCACGGAGCGTGATAATTTGTATATTTTGTATTGCGGAAATGAACAAAGTTGACAATAAATCCTCTTTTATGCAGTCAGTTTTGGTTTTTCAAGTGTGCAACTTGTTGTAAATGATGCCAGATCGTTGGAGCTTCATATTGTGAATAACGGGTAGGCAGAATTTTTTTTTTTTTTTCGAAAATATCAATATTTGTCGACCCGTATGAAGGGCGCCCATAGGACAAACCTTATGGACAAACCATCATTGTTGATGTATATATAAATATAGTTCCACCAATTCCAAATAAAACATTTTGAGCCATCGCCATTGCTTCATGGCAAAATTGTGAATGTATTTGCATATTCTTTTGTAAAAGACAGCGACACTGAAAAACATATTTTAGTCACAGTTTATCAATGGCAAAAATAGACTTTAATTATAAAATCTTAAATAGTCAATATATAAAACATTGATACCAAAAATGGTTCTTACTCCTTACTATTTATATATTTATTACATACATACAACATATCATATATTATTTTATAGTTCCATGGAATCATATCAAGATTAAAATGTGTTAGAAGCTAGAGAAGAATAATTGCAACTTAGTATATTCGCAGGCAATATAACATAATTGATATTGCTTTATGTAAATGTAGTTGATAATCAAACTTTCTAAAACCTTCAATTGTATGAATGCTTCAAACTAGCTTTAATATTTGATGTTAAGAAATATTTCTTTCTGTTGAGTCCTAGACCTTTTGTTTTTAATTCAAGCAATCAAACTGCTAAATTGCTGTAATTATTAACAGCATAGGTCATTGATAATCGGCTGAATTTTAGAACTGCTTTGGGAAACCCTATTTTGTAATGAGACACATTACTTCTTGCATTATTGTATATTGTATATTGTATATTGTATATTGTAAGGTCAATGGGATAAACTGCTTGATCAGATGCACAGTAGATTTTATAATCTTAAATATAGTTGCACTCACTATTGTATAAATAATTCTATTGTTATAATAAAGTATTACTTTTGACTTTGTGTATAAATAGTGTTTTCTAATTCTTTGACTCATCAGATGCACAATAATTAAACTTTTCTAAAAAAATAAAATAAATTTGCCAGTACTCTCAGGAATTGAAAACATGATAAACTCTCAATTTTTGCCTTTTGAGTTTAGTGGTTACTGTAAATATCATTAAAAAATGTCCAATTTTAAAAAAAAATTTGGAGACCTGAAGAAGTTTTGGTGCCAATTGAAATTAAAAATTTGAATTAAACTCAGAAAATTTCATAGCAATGGGTAAAGTCATTCCTGATGCAAAAAGTATAAGAAGTAATAGTGAAGGGTCAAGTGACAGAATCAAAAATCAAAAGAAAACTTCCCAGGACATTTCATCAGTAAGCAATTTATTTTTACAGTATACTATTATATTGATTGAAATTAGACTTGCATTAACATGATAAACATCCCTAAGGATGAAGTACTATGAAAACAGTTGATACAAAATGTTCATCAAGAAAAGTGGTCACCCAAAAAGCAGATGTTTATATGTTCTGACCACTTTTGTTCTGGTTGCATTGTCCATACTGTTCTGTTCTCAGAAAGCAGACACTTATATGCTCTGACCACTTCTGTTCTGGCTTCATTGTTCATTGTCCATATACAATCTTTTTACTGAGCTAGATCACCATATTTTTGACTCACCAGTTGGTGAAAATCATGTTATATTTCAGTTGACCAAGAGCATCATCAAGAGTTACTGTGAGGTTAAATTTTACCATCTTGCAAAAAAGACCACTGAGAATTCATCTGGACAAAAAATTAGAAAGAAATTAAATAAACTTGTACCTTTTAAGCACCAGTGTGAGTGATTACACAGAATGTATCAGAGAAAGCTAAATATTACTAAAATTTACTATGAAACTGCCCAAGCTGAAAGTGCACACTCTGCCTCAAACATAATTTTACTAAAGATTTATAGTGAAAACTGCCCAAGCTGAAAGTGCAAACTCTGTCTCAAACGTTTCACTAAAGATTTAGAGTGAAAACTACCCAAGCTGAAAGTGCAGACTCAGACTGTCTCAAACATTTCACTAAAGATTTACAGTGAAAACTTTACAGTATAAACTGCCTACGCCGATAGTCGAAACGTTACTTACCAACTTCCATTTCCATAAAGTGGTGCCAGAAACCGTAAGTACATGTATTGATTAGACGATACTTCACCAGAGAATCACTCACAGATTCAAAACAAGTATATAAAGCCAATGTCGTAATTCGAAATTTTTAGCTTTAAAATGCGATTCAAAGACAACAACATCGCCAATTAATGTTTTTTCTTGTACCCTTTTCCAAAAAAGCTGCGATTTCAAGGCGAACGTACCTCAAAAAGGTATTTTTAATCCAGAAATGCAAAAAAGCCTCGAAAAGTATAGTATTTTCTATAGCATTTCATTGATGAGTGGGAACGACCAATATGGCCGCCGCCTATTTTCATGGGGGAAACCGCTGAGATTTTTGGCTTCAGTTTTGTATTCCGAGATGCGCTATCTAGTGTATATGAGATATCTATGAATGTCACAGACACGAAAGGCTTTATATCAACCAAATATTAAATGCGTCTTCAGCCAAATTTTAAAAATGATATAATGTAATTTTTATGTGCACTAATCAGCGAAACATAGGTGAAGAAATAGAATGTTAAAAATATAAGTTTAAATATAAGTTTTTATCTGATTTGCATGCTCCCAATGCCCCCATGTTTCTAAAACATAACACAACCATTTGTAGATTTATATAAATACATACAACTAAACTATTTTGAGTTCAATTACCAAAATTAGCATAGTTGCTGAGGCATTTTATTTATATTCAAATCAAATTATGCAAATATCAATATGGTGACAAACTATGAATTTAATAAAAAGTTTAATTAACAAGTACTCTTTCAAAATGTTACTCTAATAACGGCAATTTTCACAAATACCTTTTATAATCTTAACTAACGCAAATTTTCATCAATACCTTTTATAACGTTAATCTCAAGTGATGAGTTCTCACGTTGCTGTTACAACGCCAAAACACTGGCTCTCATGTCGTCGACACGACGAGAAACGTCACGAAATTGCAGCAAATGTCAGCAAAATTAAGTTCAGTTAACACTTCCGGTCGGCGTTGCCGTCGCAGATCTCGTCCAATCTTAAAGTCCCTATTCTGACATACAATGGGGCATTCTGACCCGTCTGCTTCGTCGAGTAACAAAATTTCTTATCCAGTTTGTTATGATTGATGGAACGTCCATACCAGATAATTTACTTTGGAGAGGTCGAATAAAAAATTTCTCACAGCCTTTTTCGTCACATCAGTTTCGTTTAATAGGTGATGGACAAGGCTCAATAAGCATGTGTTGTTGAGGAGTTTTTAGAAATTTTCGTTTATCAATCTCCCCACTAATCAACTCCATTCGCCAGTGTGCAACAAAACGTTCACATGTTTTTGACAAAGTGCAAGCATTATGCATTTGGTCGTTGCATAGCACACTTTGCCTGTGCGTCAACATCAATTGCTAATGTATCTTTTAAGAGCAGAGTTATTCAACCTAGCAGTGTTTCAGATATTTTTAATTATATCAATTTTTTATTGTTTTGCGTCTATTGGGACCAAATTCAATGTTGTTACATTCAAAGTTCTGAACGCATTTTTTAACTTTCTAAGAGCAATGACGTGCTGCGAGATTATGCTCCATTGAACAGTGACATTGATGCTGAACTGTACCTCACCGTGCACAAATCCCACCTCTTCACTTCATTAAATATTATTCAACGTGGTTGTGCGCTTCATACGAAAATACAAAATAGACTCACAAATTGCGGTGACCAGCAAATATTGAGATAAATTCAAATAAAAACGTAACACAATTATTTATAGCTACTATTACCTTTCAACTAAGAAAGGTAAACGTAGCTATAAGATATGTATACACATGACAGATTTATATTTTTCCAGAACGGAGTAACGATTAACTTGATACCTTTGTTACGTACTGATTTGTGTAATTATTTTTTTTATTCTGTCTTTGGTTCATGAGGTGATGCTCTAGTCATCTACATGAATCTATACTAATTCACTTACAGCAGCCATAAATTTTCAGAAATATGCATGTCTATATCATCAGGTGATAACCGCTATGATTTTGAATAAAATTACAGACAGCCCCACATTTCTTGGGATATACCCACTCACCCTCCCCTCCCCCCTCCCCTCCTTCCATACGAATTGAGAGCTTTCAAACGAATTTACGTTTTATACGGCATGTGCGATCGTTGTTCGTTCCGTTCCGGGAAAAGATACATAGCCCTCCTAGTTTTCCTGATTTTGTGCCCCCAAACTGACGAATTCTTAAAAGGGACCCCGATACGTTTTCAACACATTATACACATTATAAATGCAGAAAACTTTGATTTACAAACCTGTGGGTATCAGGCAGCTTGCATTGTATTCCTAAACGTAAACAAATATCGTCGTTAATTCTACTTTGTTTTTAAAACTTATCATTGCTGGAGACAAGATTTAATTAAACTGAAGGCAAGCGTACCTTACTGTATATGTTTACTCAAATAAAGGAGCATAATTTTCAATACAAAATTTCAATTAATTTTTAGTAAAAACGTTGAGAATTAATTATTACAGAATAGATCTTGCAAATTTACAAGGCATTTTTTGTTAATCGCATAAAATTCAGTTATAAAAAAGGCATATTAAATTTAAAACTGCAAACTAAGTATTAGACAACAAAGGGGAATTTCGTTTTGACAATCAATGCATTTGTTGACAATTTCGTTCTAAGCCAATCAGAATGCGTAATTGGTTTCTACTTCCGGTGAAATCATAGATTTGAACAGAAAATGAAGGGTTTTAAATAAAGCTTCCAGGGGGTCAGGCTGGAATTTGCTTTTTATTGCCTTAAATTAAGTTATCGGCATTCAAACAGCGGCGTATAAAAGGCGCGAAAGTTCCAATGCCGATAATTATACAATCAGGCAATAAAATGCAAATCTCAGTCGCAAAATTTTAGAAGATTTCTTACCTTAGGGACCATTCATTATGTATAACCGTGGGTGGGCCGGCAAAATTCAAATAATAACTAAACAAAATGTCCTGCCCCACCCCCTTCATCACAAAAAATTAATGACCCCCTTCGAATGAATTCTAAAAAATAGTAACCCACCACCACCACCGACAATATGTATAGGTTATTTTGGGGGCAACGAGGGGATATGTGATTTATTCACCGAGGCGCGCAGCGCCGAGGTGAATAATCACATATCCCCGAGGTGCCTCAAAATAACATACTTATTTTTCACATTGCGAGATCGCGTTAATGATTCAGAATACAAGTAATTTCTAATGCCTTATTGCCTTCGTTATGTTTTTTTTTTTCCCCATTTTTTGTGCTGCAAAGACATTGCAGGTGAATATAAGAGGGGATTATTAATTACAGGTGAATATTAGAAGGGATTATTAATTACAGGTGAATATTAGAGGGGATTATTAAACTGAAATTGATTAGAGGGGAATATTGAATATATTCCCCGATAAGAACAAAGGAAATCGAGCAGGGTGAAAAATAAAATAGATGTACATTACTGTATAGAAATGAGCTCTTTAAACTTGTTATAAAAGGCATCAGATCTTTCATTTACTTGTGCTTTCAACAATTAATATGCATGCTTATTTAACTCATTAAGCTACAGAGTTTCCTGTTGACGAGCAAAAGCATTTGGCGTTAAACGAGTACAAAAATAAGTAACCGGGTGCAATGGGTTAAATAGAGGAATTGTCAGATATTTTGATTCACCCATTAAACTGGAGAGCGCCGAAGAGGCTAAAGCTGGGGGTCATACCATTTTTCGCTACTAAGAGTGTAGTAAAAAGTTGCTCAAAAAGGAAAAAGTTGCTTCAAATTGCTCGAGCCGAAAAAGTTGCTCCACACGCAAAAAGTTGCTCAAAAGTTGTCGAACACAATCGGGACATGCCTAGCAGAGCTTCCCCGTTGACCAGTAAAATCGGTTAGGAGCATAGGGTTAGGAGTAGGGTTAGGGTTACAGTGCCGTAGAAAGCTCATTTTTATTGGGGAGCTGAAAGCGAGGGCCAAAGGCCCAAGGGAATTTTTAAATTTAGAGACTCTGCAATGCCATTTCCTGGACTTTGGGGGAAGATTTGACAGAATTCTGATGGTAAGAAAACAGCATTTTAGTATGTCGACATTTACAATTTATTAGCACTAAATGGGCGAAGGCGTATTTAATTAACTATATATTGGATAAGTTGCAGGAAAGTATGAGAAATATCTTCATTCTTTGAAGTTTGTCATAGGGATAATGTAGCCGCTTAAATAAATTGATCAATTGTCAGTATTTTAAAGGTATATTATTTAAATAATAATGTCTGCATGATTTTGGAAAGATCCGCAGCCTCCCTCCCCCCAGCGCCCCCGGTTGCTACGGCCCTGGCTTTGGAGTATGGTTAGGGTACTACGTCAATGAACTACAAAGACCGCTAAACAGCTAGTGACTCAGACATTTTACTCGGGCTCGGATTTGACTCGGACTTGACACGGTAAACAGACAAACTCCTAGCTCAATACTAAATTAAACCATGTATAAAATACCTAGTATAATCTAGTGTATATAGTATATGCCAAACTGTTTATATAGTATATGCTAAACTGCCAAAATTTTTCTATAAAGTGTACATAATTGAAATATATATGGCAAATATTTATGGCAAGTTCATGGAAAAAGTTATAAAGGTAGATGTTCGATTATTTTTCATAATATTAGCTGCGCGCATTGCATTTTGGGTATTTGTTCATTGCATTTTGAGTCTATCTGTTGATTAAATTGAGAATTTTGCTAGCTATACATGAATTAAATTTGCTGCCTTGCTCGCTCCCTGTGGTAGCAATAATCGTTACATGTCAAATTTTCTCCACTATAATACCACAATAATAAATAACTGGACCCCCCCCCGTTCTGAACTAATATTTTTAGGTGGCCCCCCATTTTCGGTCAAAAATACCTCATGATCCACGCCCTTTTTTGCCAGCCCACCCACATGCAGTCTTGAATAATGAATGGACCTTATCTTGTCACGTTGAATCCAATAAAAATAATTAAAAATCCTGGCCTAATCGAACTTTAATTTATTAAGACCCTGAATTTTCTGTTCAAATGCTTGTTTTGACTGGAAGTGGGCTTTCTGTGGTGGCATGGAAACTACATACAGTAACCATTTACGCATTCTGTTTGGCTTAGAGCGAAATGGTCAACAAATACGCTGATTGGTCGAGAACGAAATTCCCTCGTGTTGAATTAGACAGAAACATGACAGTTCACAATATAGTTGTTTTTTCATTTTCCAAGTCCATGCATATACTGTATATACCAACTACTTGAGGATAAGAAGTAATTAACTAAATTACCCTCGCCTTTTCTGAGCTTATAAAATAAAGATGATCAAAGGATGGGTCCATTTTCAGCAATTCTTCAGATGTATTGCGTACCACATTATGTAACATTTCACAATTTTTCTCAAGGGGTGAACTCCATTTCTTTTTAAAGTTGATTGATCTGCAACATGGTTCCTGGTCACATACGATAAGGCAATCCAACTGTCCATCAACGTGTGTAGTCGTGAAAAGAGTCGTATTTAGTCTGTAACCTAGTGTAATGACGAAAGCATGTGTAATAAGTACCAACGAGATCAGAAAATAATTTATTCAATGCCCCCTTTCTCAGTACTGCTTACACTGCAGTGGAAATGAGCAATTTTGTGATGAAGGCAGATAAAATTATTTTCAAAAACATAAAAAAATCGACGTTTCAGACACTATAATAATTCTAAAGCACTTCGAGGTATTGACATGTAAGTACTTCGAGCAAAGTGTTGATATGTTTTTGTATATCGACTAGACAGTAAATACAAGCGACGGTCCAATTATCGCCAAGAATGTAACCTGGACGAGCTTGCGATTTGACGCAGTTTTTATAATAATTTACGATACGTATTTAAATATACAATTTTGTTAGCATTGGATGCCTGACGCATTCAGGGACGTCTTGTTTGACGTCGACACCATTTGAAGGCGGATGGTAGTTTTTTCTACTTTTCGAAATTTAAATATCTAAAAACGTCGTCTCCTACCTTTATGACTGTCATTGTAACAAAAGTTCGGGATGTATATTTGTGGATGTTGCGCACTAACCAGGAATATGGATTGAATAAAAAAGTACAACCAATGATATTTGTGTCTCATTGTAGCTCGTGTAATCACACCGTTCTGAAAAGAAATAACACGATTGATTTAGATTTATTAACTTCAGCCGTCAACAGAAATATACATATGCAAACAGGAAGATGGTTCAGGAACACTAACACAGCGTGAGCCAATTACTTTAGTGACCTGTTACAAAACATCATTATACCAAACTTCACAACTTATAATTTAAATATCAAACAAGAATATAGTATAATCCTTTTTATCCGAAGTAGAGAGACAGCGTAAAAATTTCGAAATTTGGTAAAACAAAATGACAAAATTGTCAAACAGAATAAATGGGAGAATATATATAGGTTCTGTATCCGTCGATAAAATAAAACGAAAATGCCGAAAAACCCAACTCTACATCGGATAAAATGAAGCATACTACATTGAATAATTGCCAAAATAACTAGTTCAATTAAGAACAACATTTCATTGTTGCAGTAAGCTGCCTGGCTTTATGGCATTTCAGACAAACTGATTTCCACGTCTGCGGATTTTCCTGGTCAAACACGGTTAATGTTGCGGAGTGGTAATAGTTTATAACACGTGATTTAAAGCTCTGCAATGATAGTTCTGGTTTCCGTAGCTCATCTGGTAGGCAGTTCCACACACGCGATACTCGTACAAGATAACTGTTCTGGTGACATAGCGTTCTTACTTTAGGAATGTTATATTTTACAAGAGAGTTATTAGAAGAGCGTAGATTTATGGTTGAAGTCAGAGTGTCAACTTCTGGGTACTTCCTCGGGTAGAAGAATTTGCATCACAGATTACGTCATCAGTTAGTTATAGTGATTAGTGTTGGGGTTGGGGTTAGGGTAAGAGTTAGTGTAAGTGTTAGATTAAGGGTTAGTCTTAGAGGTAGGGATTGGGTTATATCTGACGCCACAAACAACACCACTAGCCGATCAAGTTATCAGTTCTCCTCTACCCGAGGAACTACCCCAACTTGTTCGGGTAGGATATCAGTGCATACCTACCTATATCTATATCTTATACCGATATCACGATAGGTGCATACATTTATGTCACGGTATATCATGGGAGTTTACTTAACAAATAGAGCTGATTCTTGGTTTCTAAAACATTACTAACTGCATTTATATATAATATGAATGCAGGTTATTGGGGGTTAATAATTCTAAATTTATCTAGCTTTGGAATCCATCAATCCGCGGTGCTAATTCTTCAATTGAAATAATGCGCATGATTCCTAGAAAACTGTGATATTTGATACCGTGCATGTGGATACACACTCAACTAACATCACAAAAATCATATTCACCTGGGTACATAACACCATGTACCAACACAGAAAAAAATCATGATTACTAGATTGGATTGATATTGAAGGAACTTGACTCAGTTCCGAGGTATCACATACTCGACCTGACCGCATAGCTCAGTTGGCAGAACATTGGGCTAGTATTCCGAAGGTCTTAGGTTCCCACTGTCACCAGGCATATTTCTCAAGTTTGCTCGGTGTGGATACATAATAAAGGCTAATTTCCACTGAGGAAAATTATCCGTGGATTGGAACAGACGAGAAGACAATTTTTCTTTGTCTTGTGAGGTTTGGGTTGGAACTAATGACTTTAACACAAAGAAAAATTGTCTTGTCCGTTCCCATCCACGGATAATTTTCCTGAGAGGAAATTGGCCTTAAGAGTAACATCACGGACATCCTATTCCTATTAAAGGATTAAGGTTCAATGGGACAAAATACTGTATTACCAAAAGCTGAGAAGGAGTAACTCAATTTCCTGATATGGCGTGGAGGTAACTTGGAAACGTTCTTGGCACAATGACATATATTATTCTTCTAGTTGGCCGCCTTTGTAATGCACACTGGTATGTAGATTAGTGAGATATGAATAAAGCTGAAGCGTTTTCGCTACATGCATGGTTGCAGACACACGTGATTAACTAGTTGCTTGGTAATCGTGCGAAATACCTCTCCTCCCACGAGTAATTCTGGCTTTATCACACTCTGGAACAATCTCTTTGTTTCAAGAGTTGATCGCATTGATATCAAGTATTGAATGTACTCAATAAGTACACAATACTTTTGCACACCTGAGTGATCTGACATTGTACCTGACCTTTTAATATTGCTAAACTCCACGGAACATTATTATTGCCAAATAGGATCAGGTGTATGTCAATTTCAGTCATATCAACGAGGCCATATATATCATATAGGTCATGCAGGATTGTCAGTTACTGTGCTGGTACTTTTGAATCACAATTATGTTTCCAAATTATACAGTAATATGTTTTTACATATGTGGACCTACACACATGCGTTGCCACATTACAACATAACGTTAGAGTTTACAACTCAAAACATTTGCCAGAACAATATCGCTTTTTGCTCAAAAACTTTAAATTCTACACAATATATTTACGTAGGCGGAACTGTCAGTAATTGTCTTTTGTCAGTAAATGTAATTGTAAACCGCTCTTGTATAGCACTATTCACTCTGTATCATATCTTATATCACTAGCACATTATAAATCTATCCGTCGAAGACTGCATACTGGCAGTCGAAAGCTTGTTAATAAATAAATCTTTTTTAACCAGAGAACGTTTACACAATTAATTATGAATCCTGGTTTCGCTTCCAACATTTTTAAAAATAACGTTAGAGGTTAGACTCATTCAAAGCTGGGAGCTAGCTGTATTAATATTTTACTCGCGTAATCGTAATTGGAATGGATTAATGTCCAATACCTCTGCAAGATGTCCAATGGACATATTGAAATGTCCAGTGGACATTTGATTTGTCCATTGGATCCAATGGACAGGCATAAGTCCACTGGACATTTGGTTGTGCATTAAGTAAGTTATCTCGAATGACGTCATATATGGGCATCAACCCCATGCAGGTAAGCAGGCCTGTGAGATGGCAAAGGCAGTATCTCCAATGGTCCATTGGATCCAGTGGATCCATTGGACATGCATATGTCCATTGGACATTTCAGTTGTCCATTGGATCCAATGGACATAGAGATGTCCACTGGACATTTAATTTGTCCATTGGATCCAATGGACAGGCATAAGTCCACTGGACATTTGGTTGGCATTAAGTAAGTTACCTCGAATGACGTCATAGATGGGCATCAACCCCATGCAGGTAAGCAGGCCTGTGAGATGGCAAAGGCAGTATGTCCACTGGTCCATTGGATCCAATGGATCCATTGGACATGCATATGTCCAATGGACATTTCAATTGTCCATTGGATCCAATGGACATAGATATGTCCAGTGGACACTTGATTTTGTCCATTGGAACCAATGGACAGGCATATGTCCAGTGGACATTTGGTTGTGCGGTAAATAAGTTAACGGGAATGACGTCATATGTGAGCATCGACCCCATGCAGGCAGCAGGCCGGTGAAATAGCAAAGGGAGTATGTCCAATGGTCCATTGGATCCAATGGATCCATTGGACATGCATATGTCCATTGGACATTTCAGTTGTCCATTGGATCCAATGGACATAGATATGTTCAGTGGACATTAGAATTGTCCATTGGATCCGGTGGGATACGCATATATCCAATGGACATATGAATTGTGCGTTGGATGTATAATTGTCAGGCATATATGCAATGTGTAAATTATTTGTATGCCATTTGATAGTTACAGTTTACTGGGCCTATGAAGTACTAGTTAAAACACGAGCAGTCGATCTTTATCTGATATACAAGCGCTTAAATAA